AAAAAAAAAAAGAAAAAAAGAAAAAAAAGAAATACTACCCTCGACTAGTGCGAAGTCAAGATTGGGGTAGGACGAAACACACAACCACGCTACCAACCCAAACCAGCCCGCACACCCCGCCTCCCGCCCCGACGGGGCTGTCTGTCTGGAATGTTAGAAACAAAGTTCAAAGACGTATGCATAGCACCGTTTTTCCGCCCCCCACACCCCCCCCCCCCCTCACTCAAACGTTACTGTGTTGCGCGCGTCTGGCCTGCCAGCAGCAGCGCGATTACTTCCTGTGGCGAGCGGCCCACAATGGCGACATCGGGCCACGCCCACATCGTGTCTGGTGTCGTGCACTCGCGAAGCACCAGCGAGCCAACCGCAGGCATGCCCTGCAGGGCGTCCTCGCCAAATGTGCACCGGAACAGCACCAGCCGCTGGATGTTGTGCAGGCAGGCAAAGGTGAGGATGGTGCAATCGTCAAGCCGACAATTCCCAACGTCGCGCACGTGCGACACGTGTAAATGCCTCCGGGCCTCACGCCGGCTCTTCCTGCCGACGTCATCCAATGGTGCTTCCGACGGTGCATGTGGTGGGGTATGCGGGGAGCCGAGGATTGGGCCCTTCTTGAGGATGAGCGAGTCAATGGATGCAATGGCGGTGTAGCCATGGCACCAGAGCATGCGCACATCACGAAAGCCGGTGACGTCCTCGCGCAGCGGGCATCGGAAGAGGTGGAGACACTTGCAGCTGGTGAGGTGCTGCAGGCTGTCCATGCCACCACTCGGGGCGTAGCGGAGGGCAACGTGCGGTACGCAAGCGAGCGCCTCGCACTTGTAGTACCCAAGGTGGCTCGTGCCCAACATTCGCACACGGGCCGGCGCGCTGCTTCGCACACCGTGCACATCGAATGCGTACACGCGCACGTGGCTCGGCACGTGCCGCAGGTCGTCCAGGAAGGCGAGGCCGGCCCGAATCACCAGCCGCTCGACGCGCGCGCCAACGTACGCCAGCTGCTCCGCCGTCAGATGAGTGTCGTACTCCAGCACCACCTCCTCCGCATACTCAAACTCCGGCAGCGGCGAGGGAAATCGGTTCTCCTCAACGATGACCAGCTTCCTCAGGCGCGCCTGGCACACGACCCGGTGCGTGTGGGCATTCACCAGCTCCACGTGCGTGGCGTTGGGGAGATGAAGCACTTCCGGCGCGTGCTTGAGGCGGCGCAGGGCGACACGACGGGCAGCCAGCGAGCTGGCGTTGAGCTCGACACTGGCCAGGTCAGCCTCCTCCTGCGCACCCGTCAGAACACCATCCACATTGGCCACGCTCGTGTTCCACAGCTTCAGCCGTTCAACACCAGCCAGTGACGACACATCCATGCCACCCACGGCCGTGGCCCCGTACAGACCCACAGCGGGGATGCCAGCCAGCGCCCTGACATCGGTGAGCCCGGGGCACTCTAGAAGGGTGCAGCGCCGCACGTGCTGGAAATCGCCATCGAGGGTGTGCTGTGCACTTGGAATGCTGAGCGTTGCGTGGTCAATGTCGTGAAGCGTGAGGTGGTCGATGGCAGCGCGTGATGCGCAGATCCGTGCCTCATTCACACGGCACATCGACAGGGACGACAGCCGCGCCTTGACATGAACGGCCACCTTGTCCCCACGCGCATGCGCAAGCAGCGTGGTGCGGAGCTCGTGCAACAGGTCCGCATCTGCTTGGCTCTTCAGGGTCGCCTCAATCGAGAACAGCGCAGGGGCTGCAGGTACTGGTTGCTGTTGCAGTTGTTGTTGTTGTTGTTGTTGCTGTTGTTGTTGTTGCTGTTGTTGCTGTTGTTGTTGTTGTTGTTGTTGTTGTTGTTGTTGTTGTTGTTGTTGTTGTTGTTGTTCTTGTTGTTGTTGTTGTTGTTGTTGTTGTTGTTGCTGCTGTACCGTCACACCCACCACTTCTTCCTCACCTGTCTCCTCCACCACTTCTTCCTCACCTGTCTCCTCCACCACTTCTTCCTCCATCTCCTCAGCTATTTCCTCCACCTTCTCCCCCACCACTACACCCACCTCCTCCTCTCTCTTCACAATATCCACACCCTCCTCATCCAGTCCAGCCCCCTCGCCCAGGTCGCTCAGGTTGCCCAGCTGCGCGCATTCGTTCCAGGACTGGAGGTCGTCTAAACTGCTGTACCAGACGCGGCCGTAGTTGCCAAACTCGTGCCAGAAGCCTGAGGTGTGAGCGGCAGACGCTTGGAGCCTGTCGCGCAAGAAGCCGCATTGGCCGTTCCACGTTGCTCCGAGCCAGCAGTACACGAGGAACCGGTTCTCGAGCCAGAGTTCTTCAGTCGCGAGTGTCGAAGACGCCGCACCATCGTCGCCGCGAGGCAAGGGTGGCGGGAGCAGGCCGGCTTGGAACGTGTCGACCCAGGTCGTGAGGGCGTGTTCCAGTCCAGTTCCAAACAGGTCGACGAAGCACCATTTGGGCATGGCCCAGGGCAGGTCGTGGTACAGCTGTCGACAGGTCAGCATCAGGTTGAAGAACGCCCGGGCACACTCTTTCGTCGACACGCTAGGTGCGGCCGGACTCGTGAACTTCCACCTCCGGTTCACAAAGGTGTCCTGGCGAGCCATGTCCTGGGTCGTGGGCAACAGCAGCAGCTGCTTCGCCACCAAAGCCCAGCCAGCGGAGAGCGCCGAAGCACTGTCGTCACAACGGCTCATCGCGGGACTGTGTGTGTGTGGGGGGGGCGTGTGCTGTGCTGTGTGTGTGTGTGTGAGCGTGTGTGTGTGTGTGTGTGCGCGCGCTGTGTGTGTGTGTGTGTGAGCGTGTGTGTGTGTTTGTGTGTGTGTGTGTGTGTGTGTGTGTGTGAGCGTGTGTGTGTGTTTGTGTGTGTGTGTGTGTGTGTGTGTGTGTGTCCGGTGTTGGTTGGCTGCTGATAACTTATCAATGATATGGCAACCTTTCAGTAAACAACAGCAGGCAACAACAACAACAATGGCGCTGCTGCCACCGCCGCTGCCACCTCCACCTCCGACAACGATGAGGGACAGCCACACATCGCCCCATTGACCTCACGATCCCCGGTGGCCCGGCCGCAACAGAACCCCCTGCTATTGTCTAAACGACAGTCGCATACTACTCTTGAGCCTCGCACCTAGGCACTTGGTTTCTATCTTTCTAACTTGTGATTCACTTTTCATTTTGTCTATGAGGCGTGTACTCACACACTCATTCATCCCTAAGCCCTATCTCCCTT